AGGATACTGGGTACAGGATACTGGGTACAGGATACTGGAACATCTTCTTGAATAAGCAATCAAATAAGTACTTATGGAACATATTCTCAAATAAACACTTCTTGGACATATCTCGAAAATTATGAATGAATTTTGATTGTCAATTGAAACATTTATCAATCTAATATTATTTAGAATGCAGAAAATAAGTTAAACTAACTTCATTTTGACGAGAATTTTTTTTTATTTTCATGAAAAATTTGCTGTAATGAGTGAAAATTTAAAAAAAACGGTGTATTTTCCAGGATAAAAATCCGTACAATCCGTACAATTTGAAAACAAATCCGTACAATCCGTACAATTTTAGGGTTAAAAAAATCAATCCGTAGAATCCGTACATTTTGGCCACCCTGAACGTTACATTTCGAAATAAAGTTTTGGAGCAAGACAGCTAGAAAGTTAGACTAATCAAAAATATAACAGCTGGACAGTGAAGAAATTTCGTCAGACGATTTAAAATTTAGACAGACAGCTTTAAATCTATAAAGCCAACTTAAACATTTGGAGAGGGAAGTTTAAAAACTGGCCTATTAGACATTTAGACAGTTTGAAATATCAATACTTATTGCAGAACATTTTGCAGAGTTTACTTTTATTACATTTCTGAAAAAAATGCTAATTTTGTCGACCTTAAACATAAACCCTGGAAAATCTGGTGTGTTTTGTAAAAGAACGCTAATTTTTTTTCATTACTTATTCTGAATATATAGAAGTAAACTTTTAATAAAAAAATGAAAGAAATCTAACCTGTCTCGGGTTTCATTTTCCTCGTTTTTCTTCTTGAAGTAATCAACTAATTTCCGCTTGAATACAGTATAACTATACAAAGAATTTTTTTTATTAATTTAATCATTTTCCACAAAGAAAAATTCTTTCTTTTTCCAGAAACTATATATACAGTTCCTTGATTATGAAGGTTAAATACTTAAAATGTATCTCATTGGTAACTAAATTATGTGTTTTGAAGTCGAACAGTTTCTTTTTCAGATGTTCAGATGTTGTTGCTAAAATTTTGCCGCTTAAATCCGTAACTTTGTGAATCCGGATCCAGGGAGCTAAACTAATGCAGATTTTAAGTTTTTAGATATTTTAAGTTTTGATAATAAAAATCTACGCTGTGAGATAAAATCTTCTATAAAAGTAGTTTAAATATTTAATGTGTGAACTTAAAATGGTAAGGACGGAAAAATCGATCTTCTCTATGTAATGTAAAAACATGGAGTACAACTAAATGAGCGCACTTACTCTTTCTTGTTTTTGCTGTAGACCTCTGTGTCGGAGGGCTGGTTGTACAAGGGAAGGAGGTTACCGGGGGAAAACCGGTTTAGTGAAGCGTGGCTCTGACTGGCTTTCCGTCTAAAACGAATATTTTTAGTTTTATATTTTACTAAATCATATGTTTTGATATTTTCAAATATTGGCTTTTTTAAATTTAAGTTTTAGTATTTGTTTTTAATATATATATTGAGATATATATTTTCCTATCTTTAGTTTATATCAATTTGACTTTTTTTTAAATTAAGTTTTGAAACTAAAATACATTTACAAAAATGCGTATCCTTCTAATAGAAAGTTTGCATCAGCTAAGTTTTTTTTTTGTTATTATTTATATTTTAATTCAAATATATTCGGTATCTATAGTATAGCATTTCTATTTTAATACAAAAAAACGCTTTTCGTTTACAACAATTATTTTGAACCTAATATTTTTTAAGTTTCTGTATTCTTCAGTATCAAATATTTCAATTTATTCTTTTTTAAATTTTTTTACTGTTAAAAACTTTTATGATCTTCCGATATTTTAAAGCAAAATTTCCTTTATTACTACGTCAATATTATTCATCTTATACTTTTCTTAAAACACTTTTAAATTTTCATAACTTCACGTTTTGTGACTTTAAGACTCGTGTTAACAATTTTAAATTCTTATTAGGTTAAAATCTTTTTTTTTCTGTTAAAATATTCTTTTTTGAATATTTTATTCTCATTTATCTATTTGTTAAAGCTTCTTATAAAAACTTTTTAATAAGGAGAACTTTAGATAAATATTCCTTAAAATTGTAAGGAAAAGACAAACATCTTTAAAAAACTAGGTTTTCATTTAACTTTATTCTTGAAAATTAAGTTTAAAAACAAAACAAATTAATTTTCAATCGTAAAAGTTAAACTGTAGAACTATATGTTCACTAAACAATGGCTACTAAGGCAGCATTGAGCATGATTTGCAATTTTAATAAACCAAATTCTGTTTATCGAAACTCTAGAGTTAAAACCTCGTTTTTTCTATCTCAAGAGTTCTTTGGATTTAGAAAATCAGTCACAAATCTACGTAGTGAAATAATACATTGAGAATCATTAAACAGTGGAATAGGAAGACGACTTATAAGCCTCAAATTATGACCTTGAGTAGTCCAATGGATATGAAAAGTAGCATTGTCCAGTAACTTTCTAGGCTACTGGTGAAACTATTTGCATGATGACATAGCACACATAAGATGTCGTCTTTCCAATCCACAGCTGTATGGGTCCCGACCATTGTTTTGTTTACATAAATGCATTTGATTAAATTTGGCCTGGTTACCTATTCTCAGAATAAACGTTCTGCGCTGTGCTCTGATTCGGTTTCTCTTCGTCCACCGACGAGTCGGTGGACGGTTTCTTCGCCGCATCTTCAAGTTCTTCCTGCAAAATAAACTGTTAGTTTTTTCTGATCATCCATTTTTTAGTGTGACATGTCCGATTCACAACGGTACCCTTTAAAAACTGAGATATCCATTCTATTTAATTGCGGGTTCTCTATAAAAATGACTTGCGGATTTTTAAACCGTAAACAAGAAGGAAAAATTGTCAGAATTAAAAACTGCTCAAGCTTGAAAAAAACGACATCATCCATACTGTTGATCAAATGAAGGTTCAAGGGTACCATGGTGAATCAGGCATTCCATTTTTTGTTAAATTGGGGGGTCACTTGAAATTGCAAAGATAGTCCCGTTAACTCGCTTACTTTTTCTGAGACAATAAATGAATTGGTAAAAGGTTTTATTTCTTAATATGTGTATTGTTAATGGTTCCTTCCCCTTATATAAAATAAATATGATTGATATAAAATATAAATCCATGAATCCTCTGCTATCCTCGCTAGGAAGGAGGTTGCAGGAGGATGAAGGGTTTCAATACAAAATTTATGGATTACTCGAGGTAGGGGGATTTAATAATAAATATTTTTCCCCAGAAAAGTGACAAACCTGTTTTTTCTTAAGTTTTGCTATTTGAGATTCAGCTTTGGCGATTTCACGATCGACCTTAGAAATCTTCTGAAGGAGATCGTCCTTCGTCGATTTAATATCGTCCCTTTCAGCCGGACGATCCTCAGGTGTCGGGGAGATGGCCTCAACCTGGGGCTGGTACCCTGTAGCCTCCTAAACAGATATTATTTTAAACTTTCCAAAAAAATTAAAATAAAAACATAGTAGAAATAAATGAGAAAAAGAATTGGATGAACAAATTTGGAGAATGAAATAGGAAAAAAACAAGAAGGGAGAAATGCATGAAAAAGAGAAAAATGCATGAAAAAAAATAAACAAAAAGGACATAGAAAGACTAGATGAACACAAAACTTGAAAGAGAACAAGATAAATGGATATAAAGAAAAAAAGTGGACAAAATTAAAATCAGTGGATATAAAAAAGAAAAAGCTTAAGATTTAAGGAAGAATATACAAGTAGAACGAGAGATAGAGAGAGAAAGAGAAGGTTTGGTTAAGGGAGTTTTATGAATGCAAAGAGTAGGTCCCCCCGCCCCTCACCAAACCTCGCAAATAAAACTTTAGTCACGCACACACACTTTCTGCAGATAAAATACTCCATGATAAGGAATATAAAATGTAGATTTACAACAAATCATTCCATCTAGAAATAATAAATATCCGGATAGAAAAATAGAAATAACGTTCGGAACAAAAAAAAAAAAAAAAAAAGGTTTTTGTTCAAACTGGAAAGAAAGAAAGAAAAATTAAGTAATAACAAAAATTGGATTGAAAATCCCCCTCCATTAAAGAGAAAGGAGAACTGTGAAGACAGAATGTATTCGAAAATGTGTTAAATGAAATAAGATGCTTAATGTAGAAAAAAATAAGTGAAGTAAATTTTAAAAGAAATAAAGAAGGGCAAACAAATTAAAAAGAGGGGAGAAAAATGAGAGTGCCGGGAGAAATTTTGTCGAGGGAAAAAGTACAGAAACAGAGAAGTATAGATTTAGAGCAGAGAAGTATAGATTTTGAACAGAGAAGTATAGATTAGAACAGAGAAGTATAGATTAGAACAGAGAAGGAAAGATTTAGAACAGAGAAGTGTAGAGATAGAACAGAGAAGTGTAGAGATAGAACCGAGAAGTGTAGAGATAGTACAAAGAAGTGTAGAGATAGAACAAAGAAGTGTAGAGATAGAACAGAGAAATGTAGAGATAGAACAAAGAAGTGTAGAGATAGAACAGAGAAGTATAGAGATAGAACAGAGAAGTATAGATATAGAACAAAGAAGTGTAGAGATAGAACAAAGAAGTGTAGAGATAGAACAAAGAAGTACAGATTAGAACAGAGAAGTGTAGAGATAGAACAAAGAAGTGTAGAGATAGAACAAAGAAGTGTAGAGATAGAACAGAGAAGTATAGAGATAGAACAGAGAAGTGTAGATTAGAACAGAGAAGGAAAGATTTAGAACAGAGAAGTGTAGAGATAGAACAGAGAAGTGTAGAGATAGAACAAAAAGTGTAGAGATAGAACAGAGAAGTAAAGAGATAGAACAGAGAAGTGTAGAGATAGAACTGAGAAGTAAAGAGATAGAACAGAGAAGTGTAGAGATAGAACAAAAAAGTGTAGAGATAGAACAGAGAAGTGTAGAGATAGAACAAAGAAGTGTAGAGATAGAACAGAGAAGTATAGAGATAGAACAGAGAAATGTAGAGATAGAACAAAAAGTGTAGAGATAGAACAGAGAAGTAAAGAGATAGAACAAAGAAGTGTAGAGATAGAACAGAGAAGTATAGAGATAGAACAGAGAAGTGTAGAGATAGAACAAAGAAGTGTAGAGATAGAACAAAGAAGTGTAGAGATAGAACAGAGAAGTGTAGAGATAGAACAAAGAAGTGTAGAGATAGAACAAAGAAGTGTAGAGATAGAACAAAGAAGTATAGAGATACAACAAAGAAGTTTAGAGATAGAACAATGAAGTGTAGAGATAGAACAAAGAAGTGTAGAGATAGAACTGAGAAGTATAGAGATAGAGCAGAGAAGTGTAGAGATAGAACAAAGAAGTGTAGATATAGAACAGAGAAGTGTAGAGATAGAACAGAGAAGTGTAGAGATAGAACTGAGAAGTATAGATTTAGAACAGAGAAGTGTAGAGATAGAACTGAGAAGTATAGATTTAGAACAAAGAAGTGTAAATTAGAACAGAGAAGTGTAGATTAGAACAGAGAAGGAAAGATTTAGAACAGAAAAGTGTAGAGATATAACAGAGAAGTGTAGAGATAGAACGAAGAAGTGTAGAGATAGAACAGAAAAGTGTAGAGATAGAACAGAAAAGTGTAGAGATAGAACAAAGAAGTGTAGAGATAGAACAGAGAAGTGTAGAGATAGAACAGAGAAGTGTAGAGATAGAACTGAGAAGCATAAAGATAGAACAAAGAAGTATAGATTTAGAACAGAGAAGTAAAGGGATAGAACAGAGAAGTGTAGAGACAGAACAGAGAAGTGTAGAGATAGAACAAAGAAGTGTAGAGATAGAACAGAGAAGTGTAGGGTTAGAACAGAGAAGTGTATTTACTGTATAGTTAGAACTAAGAAATGGAGGTTCCAAGTTGGCTGAAATTGTAAGTTTCTGCGAAATATAAATATGCAGAGTTCAATGTTCCATGCAAAATCCTTCCAAATATTTAGCAAATTTTAGAAAGAATATTGAGGGTTTGGCTTTCTACTGCATATTAACTAGGTGTTAAGCTAAAGATTAAATAGTGCAGGATTGCGCTGAGCTAAATAAATTCACAAATTAAATGAGTTTACAAAAATAATTATGTTCAAAATCATCACTAAGGAAATGAGATTGGAACTATTCACAAATAAAAAAAAATAAAATCTGATCGATTGAAAATATGAATTCTGATCTTGATTCACAAAAACCTGATCAATTGACAAATAATTCCCGGGTAATTGGCTCCTAAGTTCTATCAAAATAAAAAATCTAATCAATTAACCAGAAATGCCTGATCGATTGACAAATCAAATTTCCATCCAGACAAATAAATTCTGATTATTGATCAACAGAAATTGTATAAATTCTGATCAATTAAAAAACTATCTCAGAGCGATTAATTAATAAAATAAATTCTTATCAATAGACAATATTAAAGTGTACCTTAACGGATTCCCTAGTATCGATTGAAAGGGGTGCTATCGGAGTTCCACGGGAGTCTATTCTAGGTCTTTTGATCTGGTGCGCCGGATCCGGCGGAACTATGCCGGAGTATCCGCCAGTATGTGCCAGGATAGAACTATTAGCCGCAACCATTTGGATTCCGTCCCTTAAAAAAAAACATAAAATTATTTCTTTAAAATGGAAATAACATTTTATTTCTATATTTGATAATACGAGAGTATCACAAAAATATAAATAAAACCTACATTATTTAGCAAAAATTGTACCAAGGTTCATTGTCCACTACATTTTTGTTTCTAGTAACATTAAAAAACAAAAGCATAAAAAACTTAATTTTTAAAAGAAAAAATTAGGCGAAAAAGCTTTCAATTTGAATTCAGAATTTTTTATCAAAGCTTAGAAACCATATTTAAAATTAGAGAGGGGGGGAATAATTTTCGGAACTGTAGACTTTCGAGTGTAAAAAGGAAAAAGAAAAATTCGACACTTATGACCTTTTGTATTAAATTGCAGTTTTAATAAATAATATTAAAAACATGTAATTGTACAGTATACACTGTAAATTCCACAGAATAAATATATTATGGAATATACCGTCTAAATCCTGTAGCTTTTAAAGTAATTTAAACGTAATTTAGCGTAACCCTCCATGCAAGTCAGCAATGTCCGATTTACAATGATACCATTAAAAGCTTTGAATAATTAAGTATGAATTAAGTACCAATGTTTAGTTTCTTTAAACCGTTTATATTCATTTACGGATTCTCTGCAAAACTGACTTGCATATTTCTTAGAACGCAATGGAGAAATTATCAGAATTGAAGACTTTTCGAGTCAGAAAAAACGAGAGTATTCCACAAGGATTCAAGGGTTCCGTTGTAAATCTGGCATTTCCTTCATTTCATGGAGAATGACTTGAAGTTACGTTTACAGCCCCTTTAATCAGAATTTTTCAAATAAAGGTCTCTTATTAATGGACTACTAAAAAAAATTCAACACTAATTCTTTTATACAGAGCGTCTCATATCATATCATATTAGATTATCTCCAATCTTAACGCCAAAATACGCACATAAAAATCTAGCATTTTCTGCAAAAAAAAATTTCTATTAACCATATCAAATTTTTCTATGTGATTCATATTCTTTCTGATTTGTCCCACAAATCGTAATTTAGACCCATTAACGCGGTCTAATTTGATGTGGGACACGCTGTATGTAAAAATAAGAAAAGAAAACGTGATTATGAATAAAGAAAATATTTAAAATTTGGCTGGAGTACAATTACAGTGTAAACAAATGCATGAATGAACCTCCCCCCCCCCCGACTAAAATTTTTGGAATAATAAGCTTAACAAAAATATGTTTTTAAATAAACGATCTTAATATAAAAAATTATTTAAATTAAGTCTTCATTTTTGTAATTAACTCTACAATTTCCCACATTTCAATTAAATCATTACAGAAGTAATGAATTGAATAATTTTTTCTGCTAACGCCATAGAATTATTTTGATTTGCTAATCTACATCAGATCAGAGGTAATAGCATGGAATTTAACATTAAAAAATACATTTAAAAATTGCTTAAATAAAAACGAAAAATTAATTTATGGAATTTTTAAAAATCGGGAAAGAATACCCTGAAGACTTCTTTTGAAGAAAAATGAAAAAATGCTCGCAGGGAAAAACCGAATTCTTAATAACGTAGAGGGGGGGGGTATTATTACTTACTGGTTCAAGTATCCAGGATAAGGGGATCGCACTGACAGCCGTGGGTTCCTCGAATCCGCCTAAACATAAAAAATTCAATATTAAAAACGAAATGAAAAATATAAAACTCAAATTCAATTCCGGTCCTCGCAATAGAATTCTGCAATTTTCCTGGTGCCTTAAATTTACAACGAGCGCTGTATTTAAAAAAGAAAGCAAGATAAAATAATAAAATAGATAAAATTAGTAGGTCCCCATATATACATTTGCACTGTGCACAGGTGTTAATTAGTAAAATGAATTTTGATACATTATCTTATCAAAATGAATTTTCTGAGGAAACATTACATTAACATTTTCCAAGAAAAGAAATAACAAACATATTTGAATAAATCATAAAAAAGAGAGAATTGAGCAAAAAGCAAGTTTCATTAAAGTTTTCTCAGCAAAGTTTCTCCGAAATTAGATATTAATTGTGTTCAAATGCGTTAAAAAACTAGTCGTGATTAATTATATAATTGAAAGCCAAGCGGTAAATCCATTAAACCTTTTTTTAGTTGTTTATTGCTGAATTNTGTAAGGGGGGGCTCAGTCCTCTTTGTAGGTTATCACTTCCTGAAAATCCTAATTTTTTACGTTATCTTTTTACCTGTGGTTGGCGAACATACACCTGTCCATTCGCCCCAGTGTATGCTGACGGCGGAACAACATATCTTAGGGCGGAGGGGGGCAACGTAACCGGCGGATAGCCGGGGCGTACAAGAGCCCCTGCCGGTGCTGTGGCGACTCCTCCTCGACGCGAAGCGCCAGGGTCAGCTTGTGGAGGTAGATAAGGACTACCTGGAGGCCTGGAAATAAAACGTTTTGGTGGAAAAATACGATTTCTTTACACTCAATGAATTAATTAAATATTATTATGAAGTATACAAAAATTCATCAAATTGCGATTTAATTTTTACACAGCCCTATACCCCCTGTAGATCCTAGTATACCCCTGTATCCTTCTAAATATATATCTATTTCCACAGCCTCAATTTTTGAAGGTTTTTAAATATTTTCTACTGAAACACTTACTTTTTAGAGTTTTTGTTATATTAAATAAATAAATAATTACTTACTTAACCTGTCTCGTAGTACCTGTGTCCTAGAACCTGACTCCCTGTATACCCCTGTATCCTGGTATACCCCTGTATCCTGGTATATCCCTGTATCCTGGTATACCCCTGTATCCTAGTATACCCCTGTATCCTGGTATACCCCTGTATCCTAGTATACCCCTGTATCCTAGTATACCCCTGTATCCTGGTATACCCCGGTATCCTGGTATATCCCTGTATCCTGGTATACTCCTGTATCCTGGTATATCCCTGTATCCTAGTATATCCCTGTATCCTAGTATACGACTGTATCCTGGTATACCCCCTGTATCCTGGTATACCCCAGTATCCTGGTATACCTCTGTATCCTGGTATATCCCTGTATCCTGGTATACCCCTGTATCCTAGTACAGGGTGTCCCACATCATATTAAACCGAGAACGGGTCTAAATTACGATTTTCGGGACTAATTAGAAAATTTAATTAGAATGAATCATTTTGAAATTAATATAAGGCTTATATAAGAATTTTCTTGCGGAAAATGATAAGTTTTTCGAGTATTAAGGGTTTATTTTGGTGTTAAAGATTGGTGATAATCTAATATGATATGGGACGCTTTGTATACCCCTGCATCCTGGTATACCCCTGTATCCTGGTATACCCCTGTATCCTGGTATATCCCTGTATTCTTGTAAACCCCAATATTCTACTATACCTGCAGTATCTTACTTTACCCCAGTATCCTGGTACACCCCAGTATCCTGATAAACCCCTGTATCATAGTATACTTCTGTATCCTGGTAAACCCCAATATCCTGGCATGCCCCTGTATCCTGGGATACCCCTGTATTCTAGTATATCCCAGTATCCTAGTATACTGGTAAACCCCTGTATCATGGTATACTTCTGTATCCTGGTAAACCCCTGTATCCTGGTATACCCTGTATCCTAGTATACCTCAGTATCCTGGTATACCCCTGTATCCTGGTATACCCCTGTATCCTGGTATACCCTGTATCCTGGTATACCCCTGTATCCTGGTATACCTCTGTATCCTGGTATACACCTGTATCCTCCTGGTATACACCTGTATCTTCCTGGTATACCCCTGTATTCTGGTAAACCCCTGTATCCTAGTATACACCAATATCCTACTATACCCCTGTATCCTGGTATACCCCTGAATCCTGGTATACCCCTGTATCCTGGTATACCCCTGTATCCTGGTAAACCCCTGTATCCTCGTAAACCCCTGTATCCTGGTATACCCCTGTATCCTGGTATACCTCTGTATCCTAGTAAACCCCTGTATCCAGGTATACCCCTGTATCCTAGTATACCCCTGTATCCTAGTATACCCCTGTATCCTAGTACCTGTATCCAACTATAAAACTGATGAATCCTACACCCCTATTAAAATTAATAACACCCACCTGGACAAATTACTGTCCCCCCCCCCTCATGAAAACACCCCTGAGTACGGAACAAACACACGAACCAATGAACGCACGAACATACATCTCACCAAAAACACACACACACAAACCACGCGCCCAAACACTAAACTGCACAAAATAAACAAAAAAAGGATGAAATGAAAAGAATTACCAGTAAACAGCCATGATCTAGAACTTAACTCCAAGTCACTTTTTCAAGGGTCACAAGACAGGTTTCATTTTTAGCTAACTTTATAACCAGGTGCCACGGAGGGCACAGGCAACCAATATTATTAACTTAACTTGATTTAAGTGACTTTAAAATCATTTTTTGGTCGTTTAGTTGCACTGAGGACCCGAAAAATATCTTGACTAGACAATTTTTATCCGACTTTAAGAACTTTCGTGTTCTAAAAACTAGTGTTTTTCAGTAAAAATGATTCTCTGTCCGCTCCTGCCAGGATTGGGATCTCTGCTTAACTGCGCTGAATCTAGTGAGGAGTAGGTCCCCTTCTACACTGCCGCTGTGAACTAAGGGGGAGTTTTGGAGACGGAATTTTATCAAACATTTTTTTTCATTCAAATTTAAGAATTCCTCAGTCTGCAAAAATATTAATAAAAAGATAATTAAGATAATTTTGGTGTCAATTATACTTTTTGATTTTAACGTTTTAAAATAAACATCAGAGAAATTGCAAGTTAGAAATAAGAAAAATACACTTTTTCTTGCTGAAAGGGTAAATTATAGTTTAACATTTTTATATATAAAAAAGAGAGCCCGAGGTATTTCAGGGGGGCTGGTGTGCTCAGCCCCCACCCCCCTAGGTCAGTTAAATCCATATTATTCAGGCTCCAACGGGTGCCGGGCCCCCCTAAATAAATTCCTGTATGCCTCTGAAAGAGGAAACGAGAGAGAGGGATGTTATTATGTTTGCTTTTTTTCTAATGCTGGGTTGCCAACCAAAGTGTTTTCTAACCTTTGTGTGCTGTTCTTTAGCCCATGCTGCAGGGTAAGTTTTTTTTGCAATGTGAATTTAGACCCAAATGGTTAATTAATAATGAATCGAAACATCACAGAAAAAAACTGTGATTCTGGTCTGGTGTTATATAGTTTCAGTAGAAGTAAATATTTCCATTAACGTTAGCGCCGATTTTAGGATTCATAACTTGGATAATGAGATAGATGCTACCGCTGGCGCTATACTATTTCTATTGGTTCAGAATAGACAACAAACACATGACATGAACCCTGATTGGATCCAAGTGGTTTAAATGATGTAATAAAAGTAAGCTGGATTAATTCTGAAGCATTTTCTGGTGTTTAACAACATGTAATATTAAGTTTGTATCTTTTATTCCAGACGGTTGGCAATCCTGATAATGTCGATAACAGTTTCATCAATTTTCAAGACTGGATCGACTTTAAAGTGTCACAATGCCAGACCTTTGATTATACCTCACAAACTCATTTAGACTTTTTGATACCACTTGTACGTTTAAAATTTTTTTAACCGTTTTTAGAAAAAATGGCCAAAATCTCGTTTAATATATTTTCGTAAGATTTTACACTGTGGCTTTATAAATTATTTTTGTTTAAATCAAAAGTCAAAACGCGGCTAAATTCATATCAAAAAACCATTTGGGTAATCTGCGTTTCCCCATGCATATTAATTTTATTCCCGGTCAGATTAAAATATTATAAATATCACTCCAAAATATTTGACTTACCTAAATTATGAAAATCACCAAAAAAAATAAGGAAAATATGTGAATTAAATATTTACGGACACTCCGTGCAGTAAATAAATATCATAACGTGGGGGAGGGGGCGTTTTATTGACTAAGTAAATTTTCTAAAATTATTATAGAGTTCTGCGGTAAAAGTATAAAAATCTCCGCAATCCTGACTTAAATTACCCCCCCCCCCCCCCCCCC